TATCTTATGGACTTTGCAGCACCTGCACTCTCAAAGGCGCCTGCATTCAGATTTTATGGACCTTGAAATGCCTGCTTTCTCAAGTGTCGACTACACCCGACCCAACCCCCACTGCGAGGACGCCGGTCTCAAGTCACTACTTGTAGCAAAGTGACATCCTCGAAGTTGGAAAACGTCAAGTAGAGATGATCATCTGCAGAATGGTTTACAAGTGGAAATGGGAAAGCTGCCAGCAAACTCCTATCCAGCTGTCCGACGACATACCTTGGCGTAGCAAGCACCAAGTCCTCCACGCTGAAGGGCGAAGCGCTGCTTTGGCCAAGACCTGGCACGGTGACTAGGGCGCCGATGTGCTGAAGGCTGGCGTCTAGCAGGACTTCTGCTGTATCTGCCAACGCCTGATCCTGCGTAGTCTCCACGAAGTATGTGACATTCGGCTGGCTACTTGTAGTCACGGTGCTTGAGGCTGTGACGCTGATGGAAGACGACGAACTTGCGAAAGAAGACCTCGTCGAAGATGAGGTACCAGTGCTAGTCGCTGATGTGCTAACCTGACTAGCCGTGGAAGAACTGGTGAAAGATCCTGTCGACGACGACGAACTTGTAAGTGATCTTGTGGTTGACGATGTGCTACTTGAGGCAGTCGAGGACACACTCACCGTAGACGAACTCGAAGACGATCTCGTCGCTGAGGACGAACTCGTGGACGATGTGCTTGTCGTTGCCGACGTAGTTGAAGTCAACGTATGTGTACCAGAGGTACTGGATGTTATTGTCATCCAGGGGTCCGCTGCACAGGCTTCGAGATCAGCTGCATCAATCGCTGACGTATATAAGGCCACATTTCGTATCTCCCCCTTTCCGTCAAAGCTAGTTGGATCATTGTGCGCACGTCCGATCTCCACATTGTGACTCGATTGGCCTTTGAAGTTTGCTGAGGTACCTCTGGAGCCCACCAATGTGCCGTCCACATACAGACGCTGTGTTTGGCTGCTCGCGTCATAGACTGCAGAAACTGTTGCCCAGGTCTCGGCTGGAAAAGCATAGTTGGCATCGAGATCGTTGGAGTAAAACCCGAGTTTCAATTTCGTGTCCGTCAAACACAGGTGCAGATGTCCACTGTTGACAAAAGGGTGAGTCATGCCGCTCCCAAGCCAACATGTCCAGCTGCCCGGGACAGGATCATAAATATACAAGCTTGCGATCATCGTGAAAGAAATGTCGGCAAAGTCTGTGCTTGGGACTTTAGTGTCGATTGGAAATCCCCCTGTATCCGCTGACAGGGTGGCATAGTCAGAAAACACCATGGAGTCTGTATGTGGGCATTGCGACAACAGGCTGTCATCCCACCCTGATGCTGGCCCCTTCGCAGTCGAAATTCGGAAGCAGGCAGCCGCGATCACCAAGTACACCCAGCAGAAAACCATATGCGAAGGAAGATGTGGCAACAGCTTAATGCATCCGTCTCTGTGCGCAATCACACTAACATACTTCTTCCCACTGATTTCCCGAAACCTGCCTCTACAGTAGAGATCCTCGCGCATTCAAGTGCCTTAAGCCGAACTTGCATCAGAGGACACCAAAACTGGCATCTTGCGGCATGGTAAGAGACAGGGGGCTAATTCGTGGCACCGAGTCGGGACTCGTTTTAAGAAAATCCCGATAGGGGGATTTCCGAAAATAGGGGACCCTAATATAGTACCCTAAATAGTAGGATCCTTATTATAAGGACCCCAAAATAAGGTACCCCTAATTTTCGGAAACTCCCATGGGGCATGTAGCAATGTAGCTGTCGCTACGGACCTTAGGTCCGGGGAAACCCCTCACCACGACAGCCACAACTTCTTGAATCTGGAGCACGAAGGAATAGAGTCTGAATAGAAACAAAGGGCTAATGTTGCTGCCCAAACAACTTTCATTTCCTTCTGCCGATGCCGTGCTGACGACGAAACGCACTGACGGCCGCCCTTCCTCGCGTTTCAGTGATTCGAGCCGCAGCACATGCATTTTCATGCCTACCGGCACTTGAATTTCAGATGTGAGATTCAGAAATGAGACCCGAATCAGTATAAGGACCCCTATATACCGGACCGCAAATCAGAGAAGTTCCTTCGACCACCATAATGATCCTCAAATAACAGCCCCCTAGGAATTCCATCTACAACAAACCTGTTGAAGAAAACCCCAAACCCTAAAACGAGCCCCCGCCGCCCCGCCCGTATATCACCCTGAGCCCGACACCTCCTGGCAGCTCATCGGGCTCGTCCTTGCTTTCAGAAAGGGCGCACTTGCAACAAAAAGAGAGGGCGCCTTCGTAAGAAGAGCCGGTACTGGAGGGGGATACTTGAGAGTTCCTTTACCAGATATTGCAGCCCAATTACTACAGGTTGCAACCTAATCCCATCTCCCTGGTACTATAACCGGGGGAGGGAGGGGCAACAAAGGGGCGGGGCTATCTCTACTATCACTTTTGGGAGATCTTGCTCTTGCTGCTGTTCTGGCTCTTGCCTTTGCTCCTGCTTCGGCGATTGCTTTTGCTCTTGCTCATGCTCCTCCTCATGCTCTTGCTCCTGGTCCGCCTCTTGCTCCTGCCTCCCCAGTCCTCTCTGAATACGAAACAGGGTTTTAATGGCGGGGATGTGTTCTGGAGCATTTTCCGGAAGGTGCTTTGATTATCCCGGATTTGTGTAAACCCTGAACTCTAAACCCCGAACACTAAACCCTAAACCCTGAACCCCGAATCCCAAACCCTGAACCCTAAACCGCCTTATGTTTTACAAAAAGAGGCCCTGAGTGAAGTCTCAAGGCGCAGGCACGGACATCGCGGCTGTGAATGCGGCTGTCGGCCTGGTCACGACAAGGAATGCTTCAGGGCTTCGGGGGTTCAGGGTTTAGGGTTTGGGTTTCAAACAGGGCTTGCAGAACGGTTGCGATAAGGACTACTACAATGGCCTAAATGTTTCGGATAAATTCCGGGCTTAGGATGCGACAGGTTAGGGCTTCGGGTTCTGGCCAAGACGCACTGCACGGACCAGCGGAAAGCCTTGTAACATACGAGCAGTCCTGAGCAGCTCGACATCAACCCCAGACAACAGATCATCCCCAAGGATGAAACCAGTAAAACAAATGCCGTGCAGGATCACCGCGAAGATACCAGGGGAACGAAGAGCTACTTTACCAGTCACGGCCCAGCCCAACTCCGAAGCCAGGGGACGCTCACATCACTCGCTTGGCGTGACACTGCCCTTCGGGGCCCACGTGTGGTTGCAGGACGACATCAGGTTCAAGGTGCTGAGGATGACGTGTGCTTGAAGCAACTCAGGCATTGCACACCCACAGGGGGGTTGTGTTTCAACTGGTGTACAAAAGCTTCTGTGCAGAAACGCTCATGCCGACCACCGCAGCCTGTTCGCGCACCAGGAAGCCCTTGAACAGATGCGATCAGCCAAGGTTTCACTGAACTCAAGACCACGGTTTTTTCTCTCCCACTTACTCCCGACTTGAACCATGGGGCTGAAAACATCCCTTGAGTACTTTAGTACACCTTTGCCCTAGCTGATGCAAGCCTTGCCTTCTCGTGCTGGAGACTGGGCTGTAGTGGCCTGTGCCCACGCGCAAGTATATATCAACATATTAACAAAACCTAGGACAGTAACAGTCCCTCACCTGATTCTTCGCATAGTTCGAAAGTGCAAGTATGAGAACACTGATAATCTCCATGGTCGCGTAATTGAGTTTGATTGGACTCACGAGTTTGGGACTTAAGCTCATTATCTTAAGCTGGGGCTGTAAGGCTTTGGTTTCTCATGGGGCAGGTTAGCAGACGTAATGCAGTTGAAGCCGCAAGTCTTCGTGCCAGTCACCCCAAGCCTGAATCGCACATCGAAATCCAGTCAAGCAGCAATGAACAGGCTAAAGTCGTAAACCCGGCACTTAGGCAGCATTCGAATCGAAGGGCAGCTGCACATTCGACCCTGCATTGATCGCACGTGCCGGCCCGAAAACCGGTCACTTCTAGACAGGAACGTTCCAACCCTACCAATGGACGCAATTTTGGGCTTGCGGTTTAGAATCCCGATGCTCCGGTCCTGTCATACCGACTAGCAGACGACTTGCTCTTCTGGAGGTCTCAGTGAGTCAGTTGTACACTTGATTCGTGACCATCCTGAGTCAGCGCGCCTGTGAGACTCAAAATGCATTGAGGCACTTGGACACTCAACATCACTCAACCCCAAGCCCCGGTCCACAAAACCATGCAACGTGATACAAAACTGGGTGTATCAAGCATATCTAACGATCCCTCCAGCCTGGATCGCACCGGGCCTCGCAGTACTCAGGGTTGCATCGCAGCGTGCTGCTCTCTAACTGCTGCTCAAACTACACTCAAGCTTCGCCAGGCTTTGCGACTACAAAGTATCTGTGGTCGTCGGGTTAGGTTCCCACATTGCGAGATAGACTTTTGCAGCTCACGTGCTCAAAGAGCCCACGAGCGCACGCAACCACACGGCCGCACAGCGTCGCACACAACATTGCACCGACACATCACGTGGTCCTCCCAAACTCGTAATTACACGACAAGGAAGACCACATGCTGCAGGGCAAGGAAACCGCAGCGTTCGGCCAAGTTTGGCCGGGTGCCATGCAAAAATCGCCCTCAACGTGGGCTATGTTAATTCGTCAGCTCGAGCCAGGCCCTCTCTGAGGGCAACAGGCCTTGCTTGGCAAGGACATGTGGTCAAGCTGTCCTGTGCAAAGATCTGCAACTTTTAAATCGTGTCGAGGACGGTGGCCAGCAATTCCTCAACACTCAGAAGGCCGACTAGGAGCTCTGCGACCAAAAACCCATTGAGCCGCGTCAGCAAAAGGTCACGCAACTTGTCATTGAATAGGTCGACATCTTGGATCTTGTCTAAGACCTGAGATCAGCCAGGAAGAATTCTGTTATTCGGTGTAAGCCCAAATTGTAGATCGCACAAGAACCATGAAAATTTGCAGCTGTCCGCTATCCTGTCACACCCATCACCCAAGCCCTTATTTAATGCTGGCGAAGCCTTATAGTTTGTCACTCGGGGGATATCGCTTCAGAACTCCTTCGCAAGATCGAGCAAATCATCCATGCAGAGTAACACAGCAATACTACCAGTGGCAACTACCAGTTGCAGTATCAAAAGGCCGCGATCCTGTGAGAAACCCCCCAGCGACGGAAACTATTTTCACTAGGCATGGCACCAGTTGACGGTCTGCTTCAAAGCTGGCTTGTGCCGAGCGGACGTCGAGCTGGTGCAGCTTTAGCACGCCTTAGTCGGGAATTTGACAGACAAGGAAACAGAGCCTGGGAGAGCCTGAACCAAGCTTAAAGAGGAATGCTGAGAAGACTTAGACTCTGTGCCTCCGAACGTACTAGGCTGCTAGATGGTCTATGCCATCTATCGGAATGCTGTCTCAACTTCCAAGTGGCATTGTTCCCGTGAGCTCTGGGAATGCATTTTCAAGGCTTGTGGCAGATGCAGCTTCTCCGCTTCCACAAGCTCCGCCACACACCAAATCCTTGAACACAGCTCATCTTGAGACTAACATTGAGCGATACTAACCCATGTTGAAAGTAGACACGCCATGAAAATGTGCCACACTGCATGAAAACAAGCGCCCGCCTTGAGAACAGCTCGAACCCCATGTCAATGGCCACAACCTGGCCAAAGCGTTGAGTCTCATCGCCTCTCTTGCGAGCTGCTGCATTGCTTTGCCGCAGGTAGTTGATCATGTCATCGAACCTGTGACGCAGCTATACGGATGCAGGCCACGAATCACTTGTGACATAAACCCAGACACATCAGCGCCAACGTGGATGCTGCTAGGGCTATAAACAGGAAAACTTCAATACGCACGCCTCCCAAGTCAGGTAATTATTGAGGCCCCTATATTCGGAGCTAGTACAAGTTTTTGAGTGATACTCAAGGGAGATCAAGCGAGTGCGAAACATTTGAGAAACTCGAAAGCATGGTGTTTCATGCAAACCTGTCATAGCACTCCACTGGCTGCCAATCGGTTGGTTTGGTTGTCTGCTCCGCGCAGAACGACTGACGCCACGCGCACCCCTCCTTTCCTGGCTTCCTACTGCGGAAAAGCAAACATGCTGAGGCAGGTCAAGTAGCTTGTTCATCTCACAGTGCTCGCCCGTAAGAAACTTTGGTGTCGTGCAGGGGCATGCCGTGATCTCGCGGCCCAAGGAGTCATGGGACGGCGCTCTGTCACAAATGCCAGCATGTTGATTTACCGAGAACGCCTCAGCTGCGCGATATTGCTAGCTGCGCACGGGACACCGAGCTACAGAGGGTTCTCTGAGTTCGAGCACCCCACTACAAGAACGGAACTTGCTCTTTCAGAGATCGAAAGAATGGACCCTAATTTAGAAACTCACCATTTGCCTTCCTGGGTTTCTGCCTATGGATGACTTTTGGCTGTGGGGGGGGTTCGGGGTGCCAGAGCCTAGAGTTCTGCCATCGCACCAGGTTGCCATACAGATGCATATGTGGAGCCGGTAGGTAGATGATAGGTTGGCAAGGTGTAGGGAATTAGAAGAATTTAGAAGATCCAGACATAAATAGTGATAAACATGTGCGTGTATGCACTCGTAGTATCTTATACGGATTCATGTCTACAGATATGTATTCAAAGGTATATGTATGTATGTACCTATATGTCTATGTATGCGTATGTGACTATGTATGCGTGTTTGTTTGTATGTGTGCATGTATGTAGTTCAGTAGCTGCAAATGTGTATCATGTGTATGTGTATATGATTGCATGTACATGCATATGCATACGTTTATGTCTATGCCCGTCTCTGTCTATGTGTATGCGGATGTATGTATGCATGTATATAGAAAAAGCATATGTACATGTCGATGTGTATGTATGTATGTATGTATGTATGTATGTATGTATGTAGGTATCTATGTAACTGCATATGTATCTGTCTACGTATCTTTGTGTATACTTCCGTATGTGACTGTGATAGTGTGCACGACTGAGTATGTATGCATGTATGTATGTATGTATGTATGTATGTATGTATTTATGTATTACTGTATGTATGTGCGCCCGCGTCTGACTACTCGAGTGACGCTGATTGTTGGTGGGTGGGGCTGGGCTTTGTTGACTTGTCTGATCATCCAGCCAGGCCGCACAGATCCAATATGGGTAGTCTAACTGGTGCAACGCCGCCAGCTGGAAGCGGATGGTCCTCAAACCCGGCTCTTCGAGCAACTGTAGCACCTTGTCATAGGTCTCCTGCCCTAACGCGTCTGCCAACACGGCGGCCAGTAAGTTGCCTGAGATCAGAGAGCTGACGTTCGTTCGTCCGTTTTCATGCAACCATGAATCACGCTACAGCAAGCATATCTTACTTCGGATGCCTCTGTGTCCAAGCTACGGAACACGTTGCCCCAAGCATGGGTCACCATTTTTAAGGCGAACACGGGCTTCAGCTGGTTCACCATGCTTGCGTAGGCAATCCCATGCTGCTCCGACCTTTGGTTCTAGGAAGTTAGAAGCGTCCTGCTTCCTCGGTGTGGTCTACAGCATGCTCTGGTATCTCGCTGCGCAGCATCAGACACTTAGCTTGATGCAGCTGTGCCGCTCAAACTTCGTCAC